TTACATGTAGATCAATGTAAGCTTTCTGTTTTTGGCGGCATTATGGAGAACCAAAATAAAGTCTACATCTAAACAACTGTTTTTATTGCGATTGTATCAAAATAGCCTTAGTGGAAATAAAGCTAAAAAGGGTTTTGTTGTTGATGCAATTGACATACTGTATAAGTACAACTTCCATGACTTTTTAAATGAATTATTTAAGTCGGGTAATTTCCCTCCAAAGTTACGTTGGAAATATCTAGTTAAAAATGATCTTCTTTGTAAAGAATCAGATGACTGGAAAACTCGTTTAATTCATTCTTCTTTTTTTTCGAGATTCAACAATTTCATCCTGAAATGAAACCTTCAGTGATCTGGTACTTTTCAAAATGTCATCCTTCTTTTATTAGAACTTGCAAAACTGTTTCCAAAATTTTGATTGCTCCACCTGATTGCGAACTATTTTGCGCTAATTACAAGGGTACTCTAGAAGACGCAGTCGCCCATTGTTTGTTAAACTGCGGCGAATTAGAATGAGCAAATTTGCGGGATACTCTTTTGACGAATTTTGTAAATAAATATCCTGTGTATGTTTGTATGTTTTTCGATCAGTCAGACAGAGAAGTCCAGGAGGCTACTCTGCTGGGTGCTTCAGGCGATGTTATTTGCAATGAGCCTTCCTTTGATCGCTTTTCATTGAGTTATAACGTGTTTTTACCTTTTTTCAAGATGTGATTATGAAATGATATTGATATCAATTTATCTCAAATTTTGTCCTCACCATTTTTTGTTCTCATGTCACTTGCGCTCACCGTTCTCATCCACATTGTACTCTTCACTATTTTGGAGGAAATAAAGATATGATGAGGGCAAATAATGCAAATTTTGAGATCTTTGTATAACAATATTAGGTCTTGGTGTTTTATTAGATGGTAAATGTTCAAGATTTTTCAATAATGTGACTGGAGTGTTACAAGGAGAAATTTGCTGATTTATGCTGATGACATGGTGTTATTTTCAGAGAGTGCAGAAGGCCTACAGGCAATGTTAAATAATCTGTCTGATTACACTGACAGGTGGTGTCTATCGGTTAATATTGATAAAACTAAAGTACTTGTACTTAGAAAATCAGGATGTATTTGTTGTAATGAGAAATGGATTTACAAAGGTGAATTTATTAAAGTTATTGATGAGTTCTGCTACCTTGGTATTATTCCGAAATATAATTGCAACTTCTATTTAGCACAGAAACAATTAGCCACTTAATGCCGTAAAGTAGTATTCAGTCTTAGAAAATCATGTATAAACATGCAATTAGATTTTAAAACTTATTTGTCACTTTTTGATACATATGTTGGTAGTATTGCGAACTATGCATGTGAAGTTTGGGGTATGCATAANTACATCGTTTTTTGTGTACCATGTACTACATGTGTATAAAATGGGCCCGTAGCCCAACGTTTGAATAACTCTTGATATTTGTGATGTAATGAAAAGTGAAAATTATAATTAATTTTCCTTTCTAGAGTGTATGTCTGCACAAATTCATCATAATAATGGAATTATGTAGGCAAAACCTTGCAAATAAAATAACATGCAGTCAACTGTTATTGTATCAGTTAAAATTATAGACAATGCATGACCAAATTTCAAACAATCATTGATATTAAGGTTAATATTTAGGTTAGGAAATTAGGCTTTACTTCTGATCAAAAAGATTTGAATAACATGCCGGCGGCTAGTATCTTACATCTGTGATGTTTTAATAACTCAGAATTGTAAAAAAATAAATTATTTTGATATAATAATAATAATATCTTTTATTTATCCAGGGTTACATATTTAGACAATGTCTAGTTTACAATATCTGAAAGATAATTTTAATATACTTATCCTTTTTTATTTTATTTCTTAATATTTATATTATATCGTCTTCTACCACGTGTGTTTTCCTATGAAGATAATGGAATATTTCTCTGATTGAAAACCGGCAGAAGTTCTTAATATTAATATGTATTACTAACAACATCATTTTGAAACAGACTATAACCAAATTATTATTAGGTGTGAAAATGCACACGTATGCTAGGTGAGACTAAGTATTTTAGAAACCTTTACATCATTGTATAGAGAACAACGCCTACTACATTAACATATCGTAGTGACGGATCCATGCGATCACCTAATATCCTTTAAAAGAAGGAAATTGTGATTTTATTTTATTTTATTTCAAATATTTGAATAATTGATAATGTTATAATATATTTCATATAATCAGGTCTCTTAACATTTTGAAAGATTAAATTGTTTTAAGAATGCAGATGTTGACGTCTTTGAATATTTACAGAAAAACAACAACATTTACCGTCATTTTATATTGAAAGTATAAAGCCCGCACTTGAGCAAGTATAACTATAATGTTATGTGACAGATGCAGCCAATAGGTGATGTTGTATACGAAGGTAGTCCCTAAAGTCCCTTAACTAAAATAACTATAGTCAACATGAAAGCTGTCGTGTCTATATTTAATGGATCTTCCATGGAAACAAGATTGACGAAATCCGACCAATCCCATCATTCCACGTACAGACAATCTATACGACTTAACAGGCGTGCGTAGTGATAGAAATTAAAAGACAGGTTCTTTTATACTTGCAAAAGTTTCAACCTTTCGAAAGTTGTGCACCGGCACGGTTTCTAGACCCCCTGGGACCATATACCCGAAAATTGTCAAAATTGAGATTTTGTTCCTGGTCCTAGCTCGGGGTGAATTCCTATTTCAATCTTAATGAAACTCGGTGTGAATATTGTCATTGGCATCTCCTGTACGAGCAACCTTTCAAAAGATGTGCACTGGCATCTAATTTACAGCATTTTTATGTAAAATTTTGAACAACGAATAACTTTCTACAAATTGTACAAATTCAGACACGGTAGTGATAAATTGTAACATATGATCTAGATGCTTTTTAAAAACAATGAAAATACCTCCTGATTATTTTTTATATTTTGTTCGAGTTTTGTATTGACAAGGATACTCTCCTCGGATCGGTGAAGACATGGTTCCTACTTGTTGCGATTGCATGTGTTGCATGTGTCGGGGCTGGCATTTGAACCCGGGTGCTATGGGGTAGTTTTGATTGGTACAGGGTATTACTTGGTGGCTTTCGGTAGCATTGGGTTGTATTGGGTAGTCTCCGGTATCGAGTGCTGTTCGGTAGTATTCGGTGTCATCGGGTATTTCTGCGGGCCATGGGTAGTTGTTGGGATATTCACGGAGCATTGTTATTACTGGTTTTCTAACGTTTCGTTGGTTCACGCTGAATTCTGTACAGGGATATGCTTTGTTGTCCTGCTGAAACCTCATGACGCTCACTAGCTGTTCTGACGTCAGGACATCTCTCGTCATGACATGCTGTAATAAATACTTGGCGTCTATGATGGGGAACCTGACTGTGTAGATTATATCCCCTAGTACCTGCCGTCTGTTTGTATCCGTCACCTCCAGACCCTGACGTCCACACTTCGCCTCTGACCACCGCATCACCGCCTCGTACACCACGCTCTCCTCCACCGCTAAGTCGTCCGGCTCTGTGATACTCTTTACACAGACGCCACACAATTCGACAAAACTGGTAGACTTCAGTACTTCTTCTGGTGATCTTGCGATCTCATTTATACAGTCCTCTTTTAGGCTTTCCTCCGTATAAATATGGGCTTGTTCCAATAGTAGGCATACATTTTCGGTAGTAAGAGAACTCTTCAGGAAGGTTTCACACTTTTTGACAAGACGGTCCACCATGTATTTCCTCGCAGCTGACAGGACAGATGTTGCGGTGTCGACCGCCAGTTCTATTGTGTCTGTATACAGATACCTAAATGTAAATAAAAAATACTCTTATTCCAGCAATGATACACCTTAAAACACGACAAATACAAAATATCCATTTTACTCTTGATAGGGTTTTATGTTTTTTTTCTATCGTATGAAGACATGAAGACAGAAATACGACCATAATTCAACTTGCTGGTAATATGCAAGTATCGTTTTATTTATTTAATACATTTTGTGAATGTTCTGGAATTGTGAAACAGTCAATCTTACCTCAAAAACATTGTGAAGACTTCTTGTTCAATATCCGGAATCGCTATTTCGCCCTTTTCGGCGAGATTTCCCTCAAACATGGCGTAAAATACAGGACTTCTGCTGATGAGAATAGTTTTATGGGCGGGAATCCTGTATTTGTTCTCTCCAACCAGGAACGTGACGTCACATGCTATACCGGAAGTGAACAGATGATTCAGACACTCTACCAGTGATCTATGACACTGCCAGCTTAGTTCTTGAGCCTGAGCAGTTGCCATTTCGCCTTTGAAAGTAATGGGATAATGAAACAGGCTTGTGTGAAAATAGCTATATAAAATTCAAAATCTATTGATTTTATAAGTCATTAATTGAATGGTCGGTGACAATATCGGAGGTCAACTATTATGAATACAACGTTTTTATTGCACAAAAGCATTCTATAAATTATGTTTTTAAAATTTTCAGTATTTTATTATCTTTAATTGTTAATAAAACACAATATTTATGTAAATTCAATGAGTCCAGTTTGGGTGAATAACGCTCAGGTGTAAGAAGTTATGTTCGAGCTACGAGTTACGATGCGTGGCCTGTGAACACTTTTTGATATATCACGATAAAAATAGTTCAGAGTCCAGAATTTACCGCTGAATCAAAATCGTATATGTTGCCGGTGTTAAACAATAAGAATGCAAAATTATCCCTTTGGGAGCCTCACATTCAGGAAGCGTGTGAAGAGTGGTGAACACCTACATGTACTTAACTACGATACAGAACTTATGTTATGGTACAAAATCTATTTAAAAGATATATAACAAGTATCTACGTATCTAAGAATCATCAACACTGAGCATCGTTTAAATTGTTTGTGTATTTATCGTCAACCTATCGTAATCAACTTCCGACTTTGATTAGTAAACTCCCCTACCGTTTCACACCAATAATCTGAGCCAACATGTAATTCTCTGTAAAACATATTATCATAACACAAGTAAAGATATGATAACATCGAAGTATCACTTTCCACTTACCGTACAATTCGTAAGATTATGATATCATCTGATATTCCTTATCTTTATTTCTACCTGTAGAATCCGACTTTGCTGTGTTACGAGGAACTTCAAAACGAAAGTTAACTCATATAGGGGTACCCGAGAGGATATTTTAGTGTGAAGTTTGTCGACAGTGGTACAATGGCCCCTCGTATACATATCTGTGTTGATCATTCCAATTTTCGCCTACGTGTTGGTATTTACAATAAATATCGAAATATAAGATTTTCGAATTCTTAAAATGTTCAAGGCGCGGAAATATATTCTGTTACTTATTAAAATATTCTGTAATTTATTTGAATGATGTTTACCGTTCTCTAAATATTCTGTAGTAAGTTCGCAGAGTGTACTTTGTCTCCACGCTAACAGTTATATTCCACATGATTGTACACGATGTTTTGTTTAATTAACTACTTCTCCTCTATTCATATTAGATTGTCAAGTACTATATGTTCACAGTGCATATCTGTATTTGATATACCGAATATTATTTAAATATTTCAACTAATCGAGGATGTAAAATAATTTGATAACATGCATTACATTTTCCGGTAATCCCTCTAACACAACAACAAATTAAATATACGGTTATACGTCATTCGAATGGTTACAGTTGTTAACAACTCCCTACAAATCTTTCACTCTTACAATATACCTATACGAAATTCATTTAAATATTTTAAAGAATTAAATTTTACAGCTAATATACTCGAATACAGTCCTTGTACTTATCGACATTCTATTTAGACGATGAGTTTCCGCATCTCGACATTGTCTTTCTACGTAGAAAGTAATTCGACAAATTCTGATATATCACGAAATGTCGACATTTAAATGATGATGTGTCTTATAACTTGTAGTTAAGTCGACTAAAGCTATGTCGATTAATTGACATTTATTACAACAAGGAAAGTTCCATTTACGTTTCAGTAAATCTTCTCTTCTATCACGATAACAATACAATACTATTATGAAGGATTCATACGTAAAGCATAATTAAAACACTCGAGTTAGTAAGTCGAGTGCTCGAGAAAACATGTTGAGCGCTCGAGATAATTGTCCTAAATGTACCACCGTATACTTGTACCTCAATATGCTGGCATAAGGTGTTTTCATTTGACTATTTGGCATTGTATGTGCCGACTGTCCTGTCTCTGTTCACATGCCTAGATCTCGTAATTATAATCCGGGTTAATACATTCTGGGTCACAATCGTGAAAATTAAAGCCCGCGTAAACAACGCCTTTTACTGTATTGTTCGTTATTACTATTTTATCATATCATTTTATTATTTTCTGAGTCCGGTGAAGAGTACGTTTTTTTCTAATCCCCTGCCGGAAATAATTTGAGTTTCAACTTACAATTACCTTGCCGTAACCTGTCGGGGGAAAACTGTGGGTAAAATTGCGGTCATAAATTCGTTCACTAATAAAAGATTGAAAATATTTGAAATATTAATCACTTATATGAATGTCAAGCTTTAGCTTGCGATGCCTTTACAGTAGACACTTCGCATCTCTTACTGGTGGAGAAACCCCTTTTTCATCCTTAAGCACTCCATTAACGTATAATTTCACTTTACTGCGCTGTCGATCGGATTCCAGTTTTTACCTTTTTCTCGCTGATTTTGTATGCCGGCTTGGTCGACCTTGTTTAAACATAGACGTCCCTTTTACATTGCACTTGTCTGTCCACGATTAACTTTGTATAAAAATCGAATTCTTTTACGGCACGTAAGAAAATTGAATCAAATTCCTTTTTTTTTTATATTTTTTTTACACGTTTCACTTCCTTACTGTGGTATTAACGGAAAGTAGATAACTTTTGTTAGTACGAGGAAAAAAAGGAAAGCCATATTTATCCTTTTAATAAGAATATAAAAACGACAATTTCTGAATGTTTCAACACGTATACAGACGAAAAAGATACTGCATAAAGGGGAATAACTCGAATATAGGTTTGAAATCAACATTGATTTACAGCGAACTGTCTGTCGAACTAATGGATACTGGTGTCATGTAGACGTAAAATGAAGGTTATTTACCAAAACGAGTCTGTGTTGGGTAGTTCTTGGTCGTATTAAGTAGAAGCGGGTAGAATTAGGTCATATTTGTCAGTATCGTATAGTATATTGTCATAATTGGCAGTATTGTGTGGTATTTAAGGAATACCATTTTTTTTCAGCTTTCATATGGGTCATAACAACATCGGCTTTCATGTTAAATATGTCCAGAAAGCCAATGTTGTTATGACCTCATGAATGCTGTAAAACTAAATTTCATTCCTTGTATTACATTTTTCAGTGCTTTGAATTTCCCGATGTAAGCATAAATAAAAAAGTACAGTTATTTTTCCCACTTATAAATTGGGGCAACGCAATAGAGAGAACAGCGTTTGTTCGCGGGAAAATGTAAAACTTTCGCCGGGGGTCCTAGCAACAGCATCACAACAAAACAAACAAAATAAAGTTCCATTTTTAAAATTTAATTTGTAGAACTTATACAAGTGGTATTTTGATATCACATACTTTACACACATTATTTAAGCTTCAAAATCAAGCCAACCATGTTTAATGTTAATTCATTTTAGCATAACAACACTACATCAAGGGCTGTTTCACGGCCAAGTACGTCCTGTGCTACGTCATTGTAGTGTATCAATACGCAGTGATGAGGTCACCTGTGTTATGTCAATGGGTCCAAGCATACAGAATGTAAATATTTGGTCATAGTTGGCAGCATTGTGTAGTATTTGGTCATATTTGGCAGTATTTGGCGGTATTCACGGTAAATTGGTTACGTATATTGCACCAAATCAATAATTTGTTATGAAAACAATCGAGATATGGAAATAAATTATTTATATTTCAGTTGAAATCAAAGTGCCTTATCAAAGTAGAATATGGGTACAGTATTGGGTGACATTATGTGGTAGTGAGTATTATTGGGTGGTATTCTGTAGTAGTGGGTGGTATTGGGTTGTATTGGGTGGTATTGGGTAGTATTTGGTGGTATTGGGTTGTATTGGGTAGTAATGGGTGGTATTGGGTGATATAAGTTAGTATTGGTTGGTATCTGGGGGTATTTGGTGGTATTGAGTAGTATTGGGTGCTATTGGGTAACATTGGGTGGTATTTGGTAGTATTGGGTGGTATTGGGTAATATTGGGTGGAGTTGGATAGTATTGGGTGGTGTTGGGTTGTATTTGGTAATATAGGGTAGAATTTGGTTGTATAGGGTAGTATTGGGTGGCATCGATAGTATTGAGTGGCTTTTGGTAGTATTTGATGGTATTCCTTAAAAATAAAAAATAAATCTGAAGCTTTGTTAGTATTTTTTGTTTCTTCTTAATGGCCGTCTGAATCAAGTCTGTTGTTTCTGTATCGAGATATTTACATAGAACGTAATAATAGTGTTAAACTTACCAGAACGAAACTATACAATATATGTTTCATATATGGTAAAGTATTGTCTCTATAACTCTTTTGTACTGTGTATTGTTTTTTGAGTCCGCTGAAGATAATGTTTTAATCTTAAATTTTAAACATAAATGTGCAATCAGCCTTGACTCCATCGGAATCCATTAGAGTAGCTGTTTCTCTGTGCACTCAGCCATGACTCCATCGGAATCCATTAGATAAGCTGTTTCTCTGTGCACTCAATCATGACTCCATCGGAATCCATTGAAGTAGCTGTTTCTCTGTGCACTCAGCCATGACTCAATCGGAATCCATTAGAGGAGCTGTTTCTCTGTGCACTCAGCCATACCATACCAGACGTATTGTATTTAAAATGACGTTATATTACACAATCGGCAAATGTATGTACCTGACTTGATTAACCATGTCAAAGTGTCAATATTCAGAAAAAAACCTACACAGGTTGTCGATGATGAAATTTTCAACAAACCGTAGATAATTTATATATTATCTAGTTTGATTTGAGATTTATTCTTATAAAGACAATATCTTCTTTTCTTCCAGATACAGTTATGTCAGATGTATGTTTACAATTCTTAGTTCTTATTGAATAATATACTAACTTGTTTCCTTTTGCAAGTTCACTACTCAATGGGGACTAATTTATAATGATTTAAAATGCTTTCCTCACGTATAGCATATAACGTAGATATAACTTGTTTTGATACATATGTTGCAGTACAATCAGCTAGTTTTAAAAAAAGAACTAGATTTACGTTAATTGTTAATTAACTGGATCTTTATAGTATTTTTTTATAAGGAAACAAATTCATGTGAACAACATATTTCTACTGGAACTTTTGATTCAAATGACGTCATATTAACAATTGATGATATCATTAATCAATTTCGTGTGAAGTGACAAATTGTATTTGGTTATTTTTGATCATAATCCGTTTTGCAACTTAAAATTACAACCTGTCCATATGATGCCTTATAATATATATTTATCTGATCTAGTGGTTGGTGGGATATTAAACAATATCCAGCAGAATCCTCACAAGCATTCACCCCTAGTATCATACCCATGGTAGTGGTAGAGTGTACATCACATGTGGTACATACTGAGTGGTAGAGTGTACATCACGTGTGGTACATACTGAGTGGTAGAGTGTACATCACGTGTGGTACATACTGAGTGGTAGAGTGTACATCACGTGTGATACATACTGAGTGGTAGGTGTACATCATGTGTGGTACATACTGAGTTGTAATTGTGTGCATCACGTGTGGTACATACTGAGTGGTAATTGTTTACATCACGTGTGGTAAATACTAAGTGGTAGGTGTACATCACATGTGGTACATTCTGAGTGGTAAGTGTACATCATGTGTGGTACATACTGAGTGGTAGATGTACATCACGTGTGGTACATTCTGAGTGGTAGAGTTTACATCACGTGTGGTACATACTGAGTGGTAGGTGTACATCACGTGTGGTACATTCTGAGTGGTAAGTGTGATATAATGTGTGGTACATACTGAGTGGTAGGTTAACCTCACGTGTGGTACATACTGAGTGGTAGAGTGTACATCACGTGCGGTACATGCTGAGTGGTAGGTGTACATCACGTGTGGTTCATTCTGAGTGGTAAGTGTGTATATAACTTGTGGTACATACTGAGTGGTAGTATATACATCATGTGTGGTACATACTGTGTAGTAAGTGTGTACATCACGTGTGGTACATACTGAGTGGTAGTGTGTACATCACGTGTGGTACATATGGAGTGGTAAGTGTATACATCACGTGTGGTACATACTAAGTGGTAGGTGTACATCACGTATGGTACATCCTGAGTGGTAGAGTGTACATCACGTGTGGTACATACTGAGTGGTAGAGTGTACATCACGTGTGGTACATACTGAGTGTTAGGTGTGTACATCACGTGTGGTACATACTGACTGGTAGTATGTACATCACGTGTGGTACATACTGAGTGGCAGGGGTACATCATGTGTGGCACATTCTGAGTGGTAGTATGTACATCACGTGTGGTACATACTGAGTGGTAGGGGTACATCTCGTGTGGTACATACTGAGTGGTAGAGTGTACATCACCTGTGGTATATACTGAGTGGTAGTGTAGATCACGTGTAGTACATACTGAGTGGTAAGTGTACACATCACATGTGATACATCCTGAGTGGTAGGTGTACATCTCGTGTGGTGCATACTGAGTGGTAGTATGTACATCACGTGTGGTTCATTCTGAGTGGTTAGTGTGTATATTACGTGTGGTACATACTGAGTGTAAGTGTGTACATCACGTGTGGTACCACACGTGATGTACACACTTACACTCAGTATGTACCACACGTAATATACACACTAACCACTCAGAATGAACCACACGTGATGTACATACTACCACTCAGTATGCACCACACGAGATGTACACCTACCACTCAGGATGTATCACATGTGATGTGTACACTTACCACTCAGTATGTACTACACGTGATCTACACTACCACTCAGTATGTACCACAGGTGATGTACACTCTACCACTCAGGATGTACCACACGTGATGTACACTTTACCACTCAGTATGTACCACACGTGATGTACACTCTATCACTCAGTATGTACCACACGTGATGTACATACTGAGTGATAGAGTGTACATCACGTGTGGTACATACTGAGTGATAGAGTGTACATCAAGTGTGGTACATACTGAGTGGTAGAGTTTCCATCACGTGTGGTGCATACTGATTGGTAGGTGTACATCACGTGTGGAACATACTGAGTGGTAGAGTGTACATCACGTGTGGTACATACTGAGTGATAGAGTGTACATCACGTGTGGTACATACTGAGTGATAGTATGTTCATCACGTGTGTTACGTACTGAGTGGTAGTATGTACATCACGTGTGGTACGTACTGAGTGGTAGTATGAACATCACGTGTGGTACATACTGAGTGATAGTATGTACATCACGTGTGGTACGTACTGAGAGGTAGTATGTAAATCACGTGTGGTACATACTGAGTGATAGTATGTACATCACGTGTGGTACGTACTGAGAGGTAGTATGTAAATCACGTGTGGTACATACTGAGTGATAGTATGTTCATCACGTGTGTTACGTACTGAGTGGTAGTATGTACATCACGTGTGGTACATATTGAGTGTTAGCTGTGTAGATCCCGTGTGGTACATACTGAGTGGTAGTATGTACATTCGTGTGGTACATACTGAGTGGTAGTATGTACATTCGTGTGGTACATTCTGAGTGGTAGTATGTACATCACGTGTGGTACACATTGAGTGTTATCTGTGTACATCACTTGTGGTACATACTGAGTGGTAGTATGTACATCACGTGTGGTACATACTGAGTGTTAGGTGTGTACATCACGTGTGGTACATACTGAGTGGTAGAGTGTACATCACGTGTGGTACATACTGAGTGGTAGTATTTACATCACGTGTGGTACATACTGAGTGGTAGAGTGTATATCACGTGTGGTACATACTGAGTGTAAGGTGTAAACATCACGTGTGGTACATACTGACTGGTAGAATGTACATCACGTGTCGTACATACTGAGTGGTAGTATGTACATCACGTGTGGTACTTACTGAGTGGTAGGTGTGTACATCACGTGTGGTACATACTGACTGGTAGAGTGTACATCACGTGTGGTACATACTGAGTGGGAGAGTGTATATCACGTGTGGTACATACTGACTGGTAGAGTGTACATCACGTGAGGTACATACTGAGTGGTAGGTGTGTAGGATTTCTATATCACATTGGTACATGGTTTTCGATACAATGCCACTCCTTTCTTGTGTCACCTTAATTAAGGTTAAAAGCACCTACACGTTAAACAATACTATTACGTCAGTACACTGTAAATATTTTTGTAAGTGCTTTTCTAAAGAGGTTGTTAATAAACATTTGATAATGCGATGGCATGCTACTCAATCCTCTTTGTTTGAAAATGGAATGTTTGAGAAAAGAATTAAAAAGGAAACACAAATGCATTATCAATTTAATCATCTCTTAAAAATGTAGTATAAATGTGTCCAATCAATGGGCTGCAAAGCCTATAAAACACTCGACAAGGGAAGCTACTTAATGTCAGAAAAAAACTTTAGTTGCTACATATTATATCAAGAGGGAAGACTTCTCCAAGTCATAAATATATGCAACCTGAGTGAAACTCTTCTTCGCAATAACAACTGATAAAACGGTTCCCTTTATCTCAACGTCAAAACATTCAGGAACCATTTATTGTTCTCTTCTTAAGACTTCCGTTTTATGTTTCCCTCAATTTATCGCCCAATTTAAACCCTTTGTAATAAGTCAAAATGTCACTAGACAAAAGATAGCAAGATAAGAAGATCTAACTGTATAATTGTCGGTACAGATGTATGCTACCATAGGCTGAAACGCGATGTACCTGTTGTAACTCCAATTGTGAATAATACCGTGTATATGTGTTCAAAGGAATTGTTTTGTCAAAATTAGTCTCACAAATTAGTCAGAATAAGTGTATCATGACAAATGTTTAGCATTATATTTTTTTATTATTATTATGGAAGTGAAGCCAATCACTATATTACATTAAGTAAACATTTCGACAACGGAATAAATGTAACAATATGCTGCATGTTTCATACATAAATACTGGCAGCACACTAAATGATGACACGCAGAGTAAAGGGACAAAGTCAAGGATCAGCTCCCTTCAACACACGTGGGGAAATTATTTCGAACGCTGAAGACACATATTATAATATTAAAATTATAAAAAAGATATTGGTACTTCATGTAAAACAACTTTGGTAATGAATGTATTCATTAATGATATTACGATAACGATAATGCTTTCAGTGCTTTCATTGTAACATTTGTAACAATTATACACTTGGTAACAGTAGAAGTATTGAGCACGTCTTAGGAACTCAGAACAACTCGATAACTCTCTAATCAACCCGGTGCAACTCGATGACTTTTAAATCAGCCTTGTTGTCTGATACGTCTGCCAAAGTTAGCGTATTGTTTTATAACTGTGTTTGTGACATCAGTCCATCCGACAGTCCTCTTTGTATTATACATTGTGACCACAATTAGTCCATTTCCTGGCAAATCATTTCAGATCTGGTACTGGTAGATTTGTTGGCAATATATGAGGATGATAACGTATGGCGATGTTGCGTTGAATTTTATGACAGTTATATGGCCCTTTGTTAATCAACTAGTATATATAGAGTTTAACCTCGAGAGAATAACCTGTTCCACAGTTTTAACCCATTCCTTTGGCATTTAATGTGTTAAGGACATAGTCATTAAGTATCACCCTTCAATGCTCGCGGGAGATATATAACGATTGGTGAAGGAAACTAACGATGTCATAAATACATATATTTTCAGCTTTAATGTCGATTTGTTAATACTAGTTACTTTACTTTAATCTACATCGGTCCTGAGACTGTTGTTGTACTTGAGAGGTTAAATTTACTCGGCTATCGGGGAATAACACTTAGAAAGATACCAACAGTCGTGGAATTTGACCTCTATCGACGGTTGTATTTCTACATGGAAATAATAAACTGGCCATGAATCGGATTTGTCCATCACGGCATTTCACCGTGCTAAAACCCTGCTCTCCGTACGCCATGGTGCGTACTCCTCCGTATAAGACGACAGTATAGGTATGATCTCGTGTTATTTTGATGATGTGATGGAATTCTGTATTACACAGTGTCTCATTTGTTAACACCGTGTGAGATTCCTTATATAGACTGTGACCACCCGGACTGTAGACTCCTATTATAACATTCTGATCTGTCTGATAAAGCTGCAGTCCATGCAGGAACATGTCAACAAAAGATATGGAGTCACTGTCTTTAACACCCCGTGTATTCCAGAAACCGCTCACCGTACCCGTAAATCTGCTTATGCATTCGAATATTCCTTTTATCGGTTCTCTAACTTTTCGTTGGTTCACGCTGAATTCTGTGCAGTGATATGCTTTGTTGTCCTGTTGAAACCTCATGACGCTCACTAATTGTTCTGACGTCAGGACATCAGTCATAATGACATGCTGTGATAAATACTTGGCGTCTATGATGGGGAACCTGACTGTGTAGATTATGTCCCCTAGTACCTCCCGTCTGTTTGTATCCGTTACCTCCAGACCCTGACGTCCACACTCCGCCTCTGACCACCGCATCACCGCCTCGTACACCACGCTCTCCTCCACCGCTAAGTCGTCCGGCTCTGTGATACTCTTCACACAGACGCCACACAGGTCAACGAAACTGGTAGACTTCAGCACTTCTTCTGGTGATCTTGCGATCATATTAACACAGTCCTCCTTAATGCCTTCCTCCGTATAAATATGGGCTTGTTCCAATAGTAGACATACATTTTCGGTAGTAAGAGAACTCTTCAGGAAGGTTTCGCAGTTTTTGACAAGACGGTCCACCATGTATTTCCTCGCAGCTGACAGGACAGAGGTTGCGGTGTTGACGGTCAGTTCTATTGTGTCTGTATACAGATACCTAAATTTAAATAAAAAATACTCTTACTGCAGCAAGTATCCACATTACAACACGACATCACAAACAACATATCAATTTTAATCTTGATAAGTTTTTTTTTTTTAAATCGTACGACGACATGGAGACAGAAATACGACCAAAATCAACTTGCTGATTATATGCAAGTATCGTTATATTTATTTGATACATTTTGTGTATGTTCTGGAATTGTGAAACAGTCAATCTTACCACAAAAACATTGTGAACACCTCTTGTTCAATATCCGGAATTGCTATTTCGCCCTTTTCGGCTAGATTTCCCTCAAACATGGCGTAAAATACAGGACTTCTGCTGATTAGAATAGTTTTATGTGCGGGAATCCTATGTTTGCTCTCTCCAACCAGGAACGTGACGTCACATGCTATACCGGAAGTGAAAAGATGATTCAGACACTCGACCAGTGATTTATCACACTGCCAGCTTCGTTCTTGGGCCTGAGCGGTTGTCATTTCGCCTTTGAAAGAAAAGGGACGATGAAACAGGCGTGTGTGAAAATAGCTATATAAAATTCAAAATATATTGATTAATTAATGAGTCATTAATTGAATGGTCGTTGACAATATCGCAGGTCAACTATTAAGAATACAACGTTTTTATTGTACAAAAGCATTCTATACATTGTATTTTTAAAATTGTCAGTATTGATTATCTTTAATTGTTAATAAAACACAATATTTCGGTAAATTCAATTAGTCTAATTTGGGTGAATAACGCTCAGGTGTAAGAAGTTATGTTCGGACTACGAGTTACGATGTGCGGCCTTTGAACATTTGTTGAGATATCGCTATAAAAAAATCAGCATTTCAGAATCACCGCTGAATCTAAATCGTATATGTTGCTGGTGTTTAACAACAAGAATGCAAAATTATCCCTTCGGGAGCCTCACATTCAGGAAGCGTGTGAAGAGTGGCGTATACCTACTTAATTACGATACAGGGCTTGTATAGAATTGTTATGGTACAAAATATATTTAAAAGATACATCATCAACAATGAGCATCGTTTAAATTGTTTGTGTATTTATCGTCAACTTATCGTAATCAACTTCCGGCTTGGATTAGTAAACTCCTCTACCATTTCACACCGTTAATCTGAGTCAACATGTAATTCTCTGTACAATATATTATCATAACACAAGTAAACATATGATAACATCGAAGTATATCACTATACGCTTACCGTACGATTGGTAAGATTATAATATCGTCTGATATTCCTTAATTCTTTCTACCTGGAGAATTCGACTTTGCAGTGCTACAAGGAACTTCAAAACGAAAGTAGACTCGTATAGGGGTACACGAGAGGATATTTTAATGCAACGTTTGTCGACAGCTGTATAATGGCCATTCCAATTTCCCCCTACGTATTGGTATTTGCATTAAAAATCCAACATATCAAGTACAATGTAAAACAATTTCTTCGATTTTTCTTTTAAATGTTCAAGACGCGGTAATACACATTCTGTAATTTATTTAAATTAGTTTTACCGCTCTCTAAATAGTCTGTAGGAAGTTGGCAGGGTGTACTTTGTCTCCACGCTGACATTTATATTCCCTCTTCACCTTGTACACGATGTTATGTTTTATTAACTACTGCTCCTATATTTATATTAGATTGTCAAGTACTAAAAGTTCACAGTGCATATCTATATCTGATATACCGAATATTATTTAAATATTTCAACTAAGTGAGGATGTAAAATAATTTGAAATCATGCATTAAATTTTTCGGTAATCCCTCAATAACACAATAAAAAATTATATATACGGTTGTACGTCATTCGAATGGTTACAGTTGATAACAACTCCGTACATCTCTTTCACTCTTACAATATACCTATACGTAAATCATTTAAATCATTTAAATACACGCAGGTAAGATTGATACACTGAATTATATTTTACCGCTAATATACTCGAATAAAAGCATTTTCCTTATCGACATTCTATTTAGACATCCGCATCTCGACATTGTCTTTCTACGTGGAAAGTATTTCGACAAATTCTGATATATCAGACTTAAGACTGAAATGTCGACTTAAGTTATGTCGAGTACGTGACATTCGTTACAACAAGGTGTATTTACGTTTCTGTAAATCTTCTCTTCTATCACGGTAACAATACAGTACTATTATGAAGCGATTCATGAGTAAAGCCTAAGTAAAACGCTTGGGCTAATAAGTCGCGCGCTCGAGAAAATATTTCCAGCTCTCTAGAAAAGATGTCGAGGGCTCGAGATAATTAACGTAAAAATAATATTGCGCCTGTTCTAAATGTACCACCGTATACTTCTTCCTCAATCTGCTGTAATAAAGTGTTTTCATTTGACTTTTTGGCATTGTATGTGTCGACTGTCCCGTCTCTGTTTACATGTCTAGATCACGTAATTACAATCCGTGTAAATATATATTGGATCGAAACAACCCCTTTTACTGTATTGTACTGTATTACTATTTTATATCATTTTGTATATTTCTGAGTCCGATGAATTTTGTTTATTTCCGGAACTTATTTGAGCTTAAATTTACAATTACCCTGCATCAATCTGTCGAAAAAATAAAGTTTTTTATGGCTGTTAATGAAACACAATATTTTGGTAAATTCATCGAGTCCAGCTTTGGTGAATAATGCTCATGTGTAAGACGTAATGCCCGGGATACGAATTACGATGCTCGGCCTTTGAACATTTGTTGAGATATTACTATAAAAAAGTTCAGAAGTTCACATTTACCGCTGAATCAAAATCGTATATATTGCTTGTTTTTAACAACATGAATACACAATTATATTTTTGGGAGCCTCATATTATATTCATGAGGCGTGTGAAGAGTGGCGTGTATTTAATTACGATACACACATTGTATAGATACCTTATGGTACAACATCTATTTAAAAAAATATATAACAAGTATCTACGTTTTATCACATTCCTGTTGAATCTTGTTATAGTAATACAAGCAATTTTCAGACCATGAAATACAACGTTCTGTATTGCACATGTGCAATACGGAATGTTGTATTTACCTACTAGCCGCAACTACTTTTTATGGGAATCCCCTTGTCATGGCGAACTGAAAAGGTCCCGGTATTTGCAAAAAAAAACAAAGTTTATAAAATCTTTGTATCGATCTCTACCAAATACGGAAGGTATGTGATAAAAGCAAGACCACACACTTGTGTTTTTCTAACGAATCAGAAAGCACTCATTTATTGCGCGGACATATATATTCACTCGTGCGCTCCGCGCACTCGTGAACATATTCGTCCGCGCAATAAACTCGTGCTTGCATATATATAATGAGCATCGTTATAATTGCTTGTGTAAGTATCGTCAACTTATCGTAATCAACTTCCGGTTTAATGCAGTAAACACTCCTACCGTCTCACACCAATATTCTGAGCAGTAGTATATAGTAGGTAGGTTTTGGACATTTAAAAATGATCCCGAAAATAATCCCGGATCCCTATGTGTCACCAAAATGATCCCCATGTGTCAACCCAAAAGATCCCGAATCAAGATGGTTGCCAGCCCCAAAATGATCCCGAACGAAGATGGCTGCCAAATGATCCCGAATCAAATCTTAAATTTTAAAAAGTTAAAAATGTTTTTAAAAAACTTAAAAAGAAAAAAGAAAAAATAATAAAATAAAAACTTTTCAGAAAAAAAAAGTTTAAGGAAAAAAATCCTGAATGTTGAAATTAAAATTTGTCAGAAAATAAATAATTTCACAAATAAAAATAAAAGCAAAAAACATTTTTAATCCGAAAAAGAAAAACTGAAATAAAAGAAATATATTTCGAAAACTATTTTTTTTTAAAGCAAAGTTTTTCATTTCTTCAATAATAAAATTTCAAACAAAACCTTTTTGCCATTAAAACTATTTCGAAATGGTGTCGGAAATTCTACAGGTAGGGACATGTGCGCCGTAGTTACGTACTAACCATGTTTATATCTGCGTTATCTCCCCTCGTCATCGTTCTTTGTCGTTATTTCGTATATCTATCAATTTCAAACGGGTAATATATCTCCTTAAGTAAATGACAGAAGCAAATGATTGGTTATTTGGTCAAATACTGATATATAGACGAGGAAAGAACATATTGATATTGAGCATTATTGCAATAGATAGCAGCCGTGTAACGTGTTTTATCGCGTATTTAAATCGATTATATTCGAAAAAAACATTATAACGATTTATTAGATACATGTATATGCTACGCGCAGGTGATTTATAAGAATACTATTCATAGGAATGGGGTGGGGGGGGGGGGGGGGGTTCTTAAAGCCCCCCAAAAAACCTCTGGATCCGCCACTGTATCCATACACCATCATCTATGCTGTAATTAGCTATGTCGGACCAACATGGCGGACCTGTCGGGTAAAATCGGGCAAATGCAAATGAGCTCCCCATCTAATTACGTGTAGCGGGCAACGGGTATCCCAGCGACAGGATGGCACCTAGACATAGCATCAGAGACTACCATTTGACTGGCTGGCTTATATTGAATTTCAATGTCAAACTGCTGTAACATTGCGAGCCAACGTTCATATATAGCATATAGCACCCTTCAAGCGATTGACAGAGATGGGGCGAAGCACCTGGTGGTCACACTCGACGATGAAGTGAGTGCCACGGACATAAGAAGCACACGCTGTCACTGTCGTGACTATACCGAGAAGTTCAAGTTTGGTGGGTCCATAAAACTGTTGCCACTTGATGAGTCCCTTTGATCCGAAACGTATTGAATGTGGCGTGCCATCCTCATGAATCTGATAGAGCATAATACTCACACCCTTACTAGAAGTGTCTATACTGCAATACGGAACGGGACATCAAAACGCGCGAACGCGAGGGCATAAGAATCCACAAGCAAGTGCTTTAGAGTTTCCAAAGCATCCCTATGGTCACTGGTCCACTGAAACTTCACATTCTTTTTCAAGAGCGTATAGATTGGTGCGGCAATTGTACTGTAGCTCGGAATGAACTTCTTGAACCAGTTCAGTAAGCCCATGGCGCGTTTGACTTCCATAGTATTGGTAGCGTGGTGGTAGTAACGAATACACTCGACTCTGTCTGGGGGAGGTCGAATCCCTGCATTTTATATCTCATGTCCTAAAATAAAACACTTGTCCACTGCAAACCTGCACTTTTCAGGGCCAGGTTTCAACCCGGCAGTACGAAACATTTGAAGTACCTCCTCTATGTCAAGTAAATGTTGTTCAAATGAAGAGGAAACAATAAGAATCATCAAGGTAACATACCAGAGATTTAAAAATCAGACCTTGTAAGACTTGATCCATCAACAGCTGAAAACTATTGGGAGGCGTTTTCTAACCCATAGGTAAACGTAGAAATTTATATGTGCCAAAGCAGGTATTAAAGACAGCATAATTTGATGATTTCTTTGATATACCCATTTGAAAAAATTCTGAACTCATATGGACGTAATACAATTGGGTTTAGTTTCACTGAACGACTCTGCGAGTTCCTGTAGATTTGGGATATTGTACTGAAAATCTCCAGTCTCAGAATTTAAGTACCTGATGTCACAGCAAAATCGATAACTATGCAAATGACTCTCTCGTGATCCTGTCTTTCTCCCCGCTCCTGGATACTTTCTCTTAGCTACTAGAGCAATGAGACTAGAAATTGGTAAACTTTCATTCTCAGACACAGTCGAATTCACTCCTTGTTCCAGCAGCTCATTCAGCTGAGTACGTCACACCTCGTTTTTATTTTGAGGAAGCCGGTGTGGCCTCTGTTGTTTTTCAAATTCAAATTTAATAACAGTTTACTAGGGGATACTGAATATGTAAATATAGTTAAGAATGTTATAAAAGACGTTATTGTACAATACAGAGTAGACGAAAATGACGATTTAGAAAATGCTGAATTTAGTATTAGCGATCAATTACTATGGGAAACTTTAAAACTAATGATCAGGGGGAAAACGATCAGTTACTCATCTTTTAAGAAACGAGAACGCGGAAAACAAGAAAATGACCTAACAGATAAATTAAAAGAGTTATATAATCGAGACCAAACTGAGAACAACGCACAATTACTTAAAGATATTTCGGAAACGGAGGGTAAACTAAAAATATTAAGAGATAAAAAAATCAAAGGGATTATAACCAGGGCAAAGGTGCGATGGAAAATCGAAGGTGAAAAAAGTACGAAGTATTTTTGTAATCTAGAAAAACGACAATACAACGAGAAAATGATTCCAAAATTAATAACAGATGACGGACAAGAAGTAAACGATTTACA